CAGCTTGTCAAGCTGTTTTAGTCCGGGAATACAGAACACTTTCTTTCATTAGGAGTAAACTCCACTTGAAGATATGGTTCAACCAGGGATGCCTTGAGAAGAAACTGACCCCAAAGTACATTTCACTAAAAATCATAGTTAATAAATAATACCTCTTCCAGGCGAGCCATGAAAGTAGCCACCAGCATTTGGATCAAATCAGGAATCAGCCAACACTATTGTCACCTTAGTTCTACTAATTCTAAATTGGGATTCATTCACCTTTCGCTTTCTGAACTTCTACACCCATTGAAATGGGACTTCATGGAACATGATGTAAGAGACCTCGTTTTTGAACAGGGTATTCTCATGCACCAGAGATTGAAGAGGAGGATTCATTTTTTGTTTTCAACCCAGCACAATATCATTGATAACAATAATTTAAACAATTTCTCTGATCAGGAATTTCACAAGAGAGTATTAAACCTTAGTAATTCTGTTTTCAATAAAGATGAACTCGATCTTTCAAGTCAGGGGTTAAAATACAATTAACCCTCGGAGAAGATTTCCCAAAAGTATATTTGATTGACTGCTGTGGATGCAGAACATGTCATAGAAATTTTTAACCTACAGAATCCCAATCTTGTCAGATCCCAAATTACTTCCCACTTGAACAATATTAAGAATTCTCGTCCTACCTTTGCACAAAATAATGAACAATTGATTTCTACTACCAAGAGTTTGAAACGCAAAATATCTGGAGAAAATCTCATTATCACTGAGGCAGATAAGGTATCCTGCAATGTCGTTCTAGATAAAGTTGATAATGTGCATCAGGTTGAGGACTTCTTGAGCACTGGTTTTGGTTCACTAAACAAATACCTTATCAAAAAATATATTTCTTGTTCGAAATTGGCTCTTGATAGCTCCATAGACACACTTGATTCTTTCTAGACTATCAAATACAGATTATATTCCATGAATTCCTTTATTTCCCCACTTTATGTAATTTCTGGAATCCATAAGGCCCTGATCCCTATAAGACCAGTTGTTTCCTTTGTCAACTCACCAGCCAGTCCACTAGTTTCTTGGTTGAATAACATTCTTAAGGATCTTCTTGATTTCAGGAATACTTATTCAATCAATAATTCATTTGACTTGACTAACAAAATCAAAAATGTTGTAGTTCCACCTAACTTCATTTTAGTTTCCTTCGATGTCTCAGATCTTCTCACTAGCATCCCACCAGACCAATGTATCCAACTAGTGAGTGACATTTTTCTACAAAGTGGCATTCTTACTCAACATACACTCAATTTATGCACATTACTTAGCATTGTCCTTGAACAGAATTTCCTCAAGTTCAATGACAAAATTTATAGTCAAACAGAAAGTCTAGCTATGAGTTTTAATTTATCCCCCCTATTTGCCGAATTCTTCATGAGCAATCTAGAAAAAGAATTCCACAAGAACCCCATTTCTCGAAATAATGTCAAGTTCTTTTACAGATATGTTGATGATTCCATAGTTTTGTTTGATGGCGATGGTACTATGCTTAATGATTTCTTGCTTTTCCTCAACAATTTACACCCTGATATCAAATTCACCATGGAAGTTGAAGATAACTGTTCTATCCCCTTTTTGGACTTGAAGATTATTAGATCTCACAACAACCTCACTTTCAAAATTCACAAAAAGCCCACCCATACAGACACAGCTATACCGTTCAGCTTCAATCACCCCTATCAACAAAAATTTGCTAGTTTTCATAGTATTTTCCATAGGCCCTTCAATTCACCTCTTTCAGTTAGTTCTTTCAATAATGAACTCAACATAATAAAACAAATAGCACATAATAACGGTTTTCCACTGAATTTAATGAATAAACTTTTTTATAAACACCAATCAAAATTCATTAACAGGAACCTTAATAATAATAATAATAATAATGTATTTTATTGACAGGTATAGGTTAATACAAAATAAATGAAAAATGATAGAGAGCTGAGAACTGTATACCTATCAAACGGCAGAATTCAAGTTCAGATCATTTCACCCGTGAGAGTGACGTAATCAGAACTTGCTCTTCCATTCAACCGAGGAAAAAAAATAATTATCGCTATGTTATACATAAACCTATAAGTAACCAAATATAAAGTAATTTAAATTTACACATGAACATTTCAAATATAAGTCATCATAAAGCTGGATGCATACCTATAAAAAAAAGAAAAAAAAATACATCATAGTAACTGAGGCAAAGAGTTATGGAGTAGGTCAGATTTCAGTTTCTTTCTGAAATTCGAAATCGATAATGTTTTCATTGAATTCGGAAGTCGATTGTAAAGCCAGGCGATGTTATAGGAGCAAGAGCCACGATAAAGAGTAGTTTTATGAGGTGGTATTGAGAGATTATTTCTGAATCTAAGATTTAAATTATGAATGTCAGTTCTATAGCAAATTTTATCGTGCCTTCAATCGAAAAATCCAACAGGATAAACAGATCTATGTCCTATTTTGGCCCACATTGCCTCAAATTTGCAAAAATCTTTGCACAACATAACATTTCTTCATCATTCAAAATCAATAATAGTTCAGGTTCCATTTTTGTAAATAATAAAGATAAAAACCCTGTACATTCTAAGTCAAGCGTTTACAAGATCGAATGCTCTGATTGCAATGCAGAATACGTTGGTCAGACAGGGAGAGCTTTCCTCACCAGGATAGCAAAACATAAAATGACAATTGACAAATATTGTAACTCTGATATTATCAACACTAAATCTTCTTCCGCAAACCATGTCCTTGAGAATGAACAGAAACATGATATACTAGGAGATTTTGAAGTCCTGAAGGCAAAAAGCTTAACTTTCTGGAAATTCTAGAAATCAATAGATCTGTCTATTTAAATTCGACTGTCTGTCTTAATGAACAAGTAAGATTTGATTGCCTATCCACTTTCAATTCCATTTTGTAATCTTCCTTTCCATTCATCGGTTGCATGAGCAATATTTTTGTTTGATGTTGTTATTCCTAATTCAAGAAACACAATTTTAAATACCCGACTTAGTCAATCTATACACATTTTCTTTGAACTTTGATGTATGATCCATTAAGTCAAATCCAATGTTTTGTGTATATGATGGATGACATTTGTCACTTGTTTGCCAAGAAATAATTTTTATCTACCATTTTTATCTTTCGAATCAAGTCTGACGGTTTGTTTACTCCATACTCGTGCCATTCGCTTTACACCATGTTTATCTGATACAATATACCATTTTGGGTATATGAAATGTTCTTTAATAAAACCTAGTATACGCTCTCAGGGCACGGGGCCCTTCAATTATTGAGAACCCGTTTATTCAATTTTCATTCTGGAAATCTCGACTATGGGCATTGGCAGAAAATAATTTTTTCAACTCCAAGTAAGTATAGCATAAAATAGGTAATCTTTTCATTTCAATATCATTCGTTTTTGTATTGTAGACTTTTCAATTAGGCTGAAGATGGTCTTCTATAAGACCGAAACATGCCCCTTATGAATTAGTTAAAAATATCATTAAAATTTGTGGAGATGACTCCGAGCATTCCTTCCTTCCTGTGATACAAAAAAGAAGCATCTTGAGAAAAATGTTCATCTTGGGGTTCAAAAAACCAAAATTCGAGAATCATTTGGGGCCTGAAACCCTTTCGAACCATGTTATCAATTTAATAGTTTCCTTTCTCCTCCTACCTAGCAAGGTATATCACTCATTTTCCAATAGTGATTAAACTTCTTTCATTTATAAGTTTTTCGTATTTCATCCTGATGATGACTCCTAGGAGTCGAAACATGTAGCACATATTATTTCATTAAAATTTACTTGGAGCGAGACTTCGAGTTTGTTCTCTTAATTTTGATTGAGTATATCAACAGAGTTCTTACCATAGCTTTTTCAAAGGTGACAAAATGTTAATGATGTTGAAAACGACATAAAAATTATTTGAACCAATTGAAAGTGACAAAGGTGATTGTCTACTGATTTTGGGGGAAACAGACTTTTTAAACAAAGTAATAAGGTTCCTTCATTCCCACAGATTCACCAAATTGAAAATTGATCCTACTGTCATCAATATATTCGAATCAACTCTGAATGTGTGTGTGATAATATAACGTTTTAACACGTCAACAGCTTCCAATGATCTACAAAGCCCATATACGTACAGTTTCAGAATGCTGTTCTCATGTATGGAGTTCTGCACCCAAACAAACGATGATGCTCTGAGCTCTCATTTATAGAAGAGTCATGTGGGTGGCCTAGTGGGTGATGCCACACTCACCAACTCTTTGACCCCAACAGAACACAACCGTGGGAAAGTCGACAACCTCCCGCTTTTCTATAGATACTGCCACGGGAAATATTCCTGAGAAATCTATGCCATCATTTCATCACATGCAATACCAGTCAGACGAACTCAACAGGCCGAGTCAGCACATTTCTTCCTCGTTAACCTTGGAAAATATCTAACAACACTCTACCAAAACCCGTCCGTCCATAGAACGGCAGAGCTTTGGAATTCTCTGCCAATGGGAGTATTTTCAAGAACTTATTACCTCAAAAATTCTGAAGACAATTCCAAAACTTACCTTATCTCCTTATCCTCCCTTGGTACGCGCGATATTCCACTCACATTATAGGAATTTCCTTCGTGCACTCCAATAGATACAAAAAAACACCTTCTTAGCATATTTTCATGAAGTCAATATATTTCTCAGTGTCCTTCATAAAGACTGTATAATGCTGATACGCAACCCTTTTTCTCATTCTGTTACACCTACTTTGCACTTTTTGAATATATATAGAAGAGATAATATAGTTTGAACATCTTGTTTTCCAATTTGACAATTGCTTCAAGAGTCAGCTGCATTTGCGAACGGTGCCGCAATCAAGCTCCGAGTCGAGACTATAGTGGTGCCTGGGTTGGTAGTGGTGACTGAGCTGGTAGTGGTGACTAGACTGGCAGCTCTGTATGGGTTCTTAGTGGTTCTGCTCGTCCTTGGGCAACTCACCATCGCTAGCCCAGATACACTTATCGTCCACTGGCAGGGAAGTGGAAAGATGCGAAGTCATGAAGTTCAGGATATAACTCGTCTCTGAGAAGTAAAATTTTTATCAGTTCATTTACTCACCGGGTTCAGGTTTTCTGGTATTTTTTGACATTGCTATTTATTCACACAGGCTCTTCCTCAGCCCTCTTCATACTCACCCTGCAGCGCTGATCTCGAGCTCAACCCTCTGGCTGGAGATTTTTGATCAGGGACTCCTGCATCGGTGACCAGACCAACTTCGCTGCCCCCCACTGCCTGGTAGCCGTGTCCAGGTCGAAAGTAGGAACGAAGGCACCAGGAAATCACTCCACTGATGGCTACCTCAGATATTGCTAGCAAATGAAGAAGCAGGAGAGAGGGTGAACTAATCAGACGACCAATCAGACGGTAGAACGCGCTCCTAAGGTCAGGAGAGACATGGGCTGGTGAACGGGCAGCGGGCCATGCTTGACCAACAATTCTTCTAGCCGCAGGTTGGATAGGAAGTACACGCCCTGGTTCTATCCTTCTTGGCGACCAGAGGTCGATTACCCCTCCAGATGATTCAGATCCTACAGTCGGGCTTCACTGGCCACTGGTGCCAGGACTAGGACAATATCCTGATGGATCTGGATTCTCATAAAGGCGGGTTGATTGTTGTTGGGATTCATGATGCCTACACGAATGAAGATTCATTCGATACGTATCGGCACAAGATATCTCGTAACACTCGCTATTTTCTATCGTTACTATAGCTTGAATATCGTTATGGTCACCATATGATATGCGTCAGCAACGACGTGTATGTGGTTGTGCCTATATCAACGAGAATATTATATATAACATACATAATTCACCTTCTATAAGGAAAAAACATCCATGGTTCGGGATGATACGGTTGTTGGTCATCAACATGAACTTGGTTTCAACGCTAACTGGTTGCAATTTTCAGGTCATAGATCAAGAGATAGATGACACGGGTGATAGTAAATGGTCCAAAATATTCCAGGCCCAATTTGGCGGCATGCTCACGGATTTCCAGACGAGAGATTATGTATTATTTTCTTCACCTGATCCCCTAGTTGACAGCTCCAGTCTTGGCTTCGGAGATTATAATGATGGATCTGATCATTGAGTGCATTCTCAAAATCAACTCAGACCATTTCATGAACTCATGATATTGAGTCAATTTCAGGATCTTCAGGAGTCAGTTCGAAACGTAATTTTATGAAAAAAGAAGGAAAATCACTTTTGTGTACTGTACTGTGTGTCACTGTATTTTGGTTCAAGAGATTCATCTTCCTATGACATGATACCAGAAGACATATTCAATTCCAATTATCACTGAATTGAAAATTTGGATGACGCCACTGATTACTTTGAGCAATTTCTCACTCTGGTCACCATATGAGGAATCTGAGAAGAGGAGAGTATATCAGTGGAACGAACGGTAGGTTTACCTAAGACTTATTCAATGAAGAATTGGTTCTCATGGAAGTTGTGCCCAATCAAACGGTCGGAAATATTGAATAACTAAGTCACACTGTGTACAGTAGCTTTTTACACATCGAATATTTGGAAAAAAACTCATAATCAGTATGTCCATGATTATGTTCAATATTCAATATATTCAAGGAGGTCATTTGAAATAGTGTTATGTTCAGTTGATGGAAAAATATGGTGAAGCAAATTTCACCTAAAGGTTCCAAGGAAAAATTCACGAATTTTTGCGTGGAAAAATGAAGTGAGTACGTAAAAGATGTTGGAAGTAAACATTCAGAAGGGCTTGAACATCAAGTTTTCCGAAAAATAAAATCAGGTTGAATAATGAGTCGATTCATAATGATAATTCACAAAATTTGGAAATTCTGTCTGTTATCTAACATTTGTCCAGGTCATGGTCGAGACTTGAAGCGCTGCTTGGCTGCAGGTTTCATGGTAAAACTTTCACGAAATTGAACATCAATGATGCAGAATCAGTTTACACTTTGCAGGAAACGAGACGCTCACCGACTAGTTCTCATCAGATTTGACATAGACTTCACAGAGTAAAGACGCATTGCAATTTTCTCTCTAATAAAACTTCGACATTTTTGTGTTCAATAAATAAATTCATTCTTCAAAAAGCTTTTGGTGATGACCAAAAACATAAAGATCTGGCTGTATACCGTGTCTTCCGAACATTGTATTGAGTTATGAAAAATTCAAATTCCTTGTTAGTAAAAACCAAACCATTATCGCAAGCAAAAATTTGAGGTACTCCAAAAATGAAAAAAAAAACTAGATTTTCCGGGAAACCAATGATGGCTCCTGACGTTGCTTTTACTAAAGGATGCAATAATACAAATTTCGTGAACCAGTCCACTACTACTGATATAAATTGCTTTCCATTCTCAGATCTATAATAAGGTCCTAACAGATCTGCCGATATTAATTGAAATGGAAAGTTGATATTCTTATATAAACCCATCAGTCCAGCTTGAAGTGAATTTGACGGATCACAGGAGGCACAGCTGGAACACTTTCTAACATACTCATAGACACAGATTGCAGCCATCGTCGACGCCAAGACAAAAGTCTTAATGAATGAGGATTACATGCAGAATCAAGCAGCGATGATAGGCAAAACTGTAGCTGCTAAGTATAAAAAAATTATCAATAACCTCACCATTGAGGTGGAAAATCTTGAAAGAGCTGATGACCTACTCCAAACTGATCTAGATGATCAATGAATCAACTGTCGAGAAACAACAACCTGAGATTTTCCGGAATCCAGGAAAATGTAAACGAAAATATTAATGAGGTTATTTTGAATATTCTCAACCAGAACATGAAACTAAAAAATGTTAGTCCCGCCGACATAGAAAGGTGCCACCGAGTGCCTAACAAAAACATTGATGTCAATAAACCCAGGCCAGCAGCTGTTTTGGTGCGATTGAGAAATTCCGTTCGAAATAATATCATGGAAAATAAAAAGTATTTGAAGTCTTCAGGAATATATGTACAAGAAGGTCTCACAAAAATGAGGCTCTACCTTCTGAAAAGGGCTACCGATAAATTTACGAGATCCAATGTGTGGTGTAGCTATGGAAACATTTTTGTGAAACACAATGATTTTGTGCATAAGATGAATAATGAAAAAGCACTCAATGAAATAAGTTGAACCACTGGACCCATATTTTGATTTTGTTGTATATTGGAGATACACTGATACCTATACTTTTTCATGTTTTCCATTCCTACCATGCGTGTAAGAATACCGCTATTCTCTCGTGGTATTACTTAATATTGCTTCATTTTAACTGAATAGCTATTTGGAAATAGAGTTTCATTCTTTTACTGTTTATATAAGTCTCTCATTGATTTCATATTTCATACCCAATATGTTTTAATTACTAAAGTATTGTTAGACTTTTTTTCAGGGCTTTTTTTGTTGATTTTGATATTGTATTCAAGGAACTGGTACTTGACACTTTTTTTTTGTGTTTTCCCATTTCTGTTATGTATAAGAATTCTGCTTTCCTCACATATTGTAATATATCCGATCCATAATGTTTGGATCTGAATCATTTTCTGCTCAACCTAAAATAACAGTTATATGAGCTTCTCATTAATTTCTATTTATACCCATTCGTATGACTTGACTCATTTGGGGTTTTTTTTTTTAGTAAATTTTTGTTCTCCATTGCTCTCCACTATATAATATATACTTTTTATAACCTAGTGTCAGTGAAATTGAGGAGGAACCGACATAAATACAACCCTACTTTTTTTTTACCCAAAAAATTAAATTTCTTTCGATATAACAAATTGTTTCCGACAAAAGCTACTCACTCTCTATTTCTCACTTCAGTTGCTATAATCTATTATTCACCCATCATTCCCTCTATCTCACTTTCTATCTCTGTTTCTCCTTCCCTTTTTTTTCTACTTTGCCCTTTTCCATATGCTGCTGAATATCTCTCATATGAATGAAAGATCTCTCATACCACATTTTCTTGAATTTCAAAACCAGATTGTTGATGCAGACTTTGACATTGTGGGAGTTACAGAAACATGGCTAAATAATGGAATGCCTACTTACATGGTAGATCTAAACGGATACACGTTTGTTCGACAGGACCGACCTACTAGAGGCGGTGGCGTAGGTATATATGTAAAAAATAATTCAAAATTTGATGTAATATTCTCAGAATATAGTGAAACCATGGAATGCATATGGATTAGAGTTTCGATCGATAAATATATAATCGCAGTAAAAAATGTTTACAGACAACCCAGTGGCAACAATTTCAAATTTCTAGATCATTTTGTTAATATTCTTGAAAACATTTTTTCGAACTTTGACCATATTATTTGTTTTGGTGACTTCAATATTAATATGTTAGATGTAGATGCCAACATCACTATACGTTTCAATGATATTCTTGACACCTATGGCTGCAAACAATTGATACAAGCACCAACAGAGGGTTTTTCGTTACTAGACTTGTTTATAACAAATTTTGATACTCAGCACTGCCACGAAGCGGTCGGGAGTAACATAATAGCTGATCACTCTTCGATCAATTGTAAAATTAACTTGGAATCTACTGCTGCTCAGTCAAAAAAAACTCTAACATATAGATCTCTTTGTGATATTGTACAAGAATATTTTCAAACTGACCTTCAGTTACGACCATGGAATCTTATTTACGAGACAGACAATATCGATGTGAAAATTTATCTTTTGAATCACGATATACTTAATGTTCTAGACGAACATGCTCCCATTAGGTCAGAGTCACAAAAACAAACTAGTTACTCACCCAGGATAACAGAGAACATAAAAATTATGCAGAAGTACCGAGACAAAGCCCTACAAAAATTCAGAAGAACTCAGCTTCCTTAACATTGGACATATTACAAGCAATTAAGGAACTATACCACTAGTGCCATAAAATCCGAAAAGAACGCATATCTGAATTTTGAATTACAAAACTGCAGCGCTAGAGATAAATAGTCAGAACTGAAAAAACTCGACATATCCAAAAAAAGTCGGGCTGAAATTCCTTCACATATGAATTCCGTCGAGGAGATAAATAACTTTGTCATCAACGTTACAAGGGACATACCAGTCGACAAAAACTTACTTGATTTTTATAAGAACAATAAAGAACACGATATTGAGAACGAATTTATATTTCAGATAGTAAATGAAGAAACTATAATTGATATTATGAACAACATTAGTAGTAAAGCCTTCGGAAATGATGAACTCAATATCACTATTATAAGGTTATGCTGTCCCCTGATTGTTCCAATCATTGTCCACATTATTAATGTGTGTTTGTTAATTGGATATTTTCCAACTGAATGAAAATTTGCTAAGGTGATTCCACTGCCTATAGTAAGTTCTCCCAAAGAGTATAGTGATCTGAG